AACCAATTGGTTTCCCATAGTAAGGGGAACAGGGACTATTTCTGACATGAACTCAATGGCAGGCTCTTTGGCCTCCCCACCCCCGGAGAGAGGAGCAGTCCTGCTAGGCCACAAAGGAGGACTTTGCAGCCATCTCTGAAGATACCTGATAAAACAGGGTCAGATGAAAGGGAAGGAGGTCCTCCTCAATCAGTGGACTTGGAAAGGGGCAGGGAGGAGATGAGAGAGGGAGGGTGAGATTGGGAGGGAATGAGGGAGCGGGATACAGCTGTGATACTGAGTTAATAAAATGTAACTAATAAAAAAAGAAATAAAAAATATATATTTTTTTAAAAAAAGACAAACTACTAGGTAATTTAACAGCGAAACCAGGTATATATGCTTCATTTTTGCTCACTACAAGCTAGTAATGCAAGTATGACCAACATATTTGGAAATAAACTAGACACAGAGGGATAGCTGTTGGGATTAGCCTATGAATACTTACATTCAGTCCATGATTCTGTTTGTTAAATAAATTTCATGCCAGTGAATATAAAAATGATTGTGAAGAAAAAAGAATATCAAAAAAAGGAAGAAAATTTAGATGCGGGCAAAGAAAAAAAAGAATAGCTTCAGGAAAGAAAAAAATAAGAAGAACAAAAGGACCAGGAAAAAAAGAGGGTGACCAAGTAGATAAATGACAGGGGAGGTAAAGGTCTTTAAATAAGGGACACTTGGATGGTTGAATATCCAACTAGACAAGGAACAGAGATGCAACCATACTGTACTTTCTCATTGCCCCTCAGGGTTCTAGCAACTCTCCTGCTGAAATACATGGTTTCTAGACTGTATAAACATTAATAAATATTTCTGCCTGCCAGGTCTTTTACTGAGGACACACATTCAACTGATGCTATGTATTTGGGTGGGGACATTGAGGTACCACACTCTATACTCACTTCCTTGAAGGGAGGTAAGTGGTTTAATGAAGTGCTTTAGTGTGATGGACATGTCTTACCCTCCAGATACAAAAAGAAGTTTCAGGCAAATTTAAAGTTAGAAAGGTTTTATTTTTTGCTTGTTTGATGAGTGGTTTTTTTTTTTTTTTCCAGGATGAGTGAGCAGAAAGACACACAGGGTATATACTCACTCATAAGTGGATATTAGACATAATATAGGATAATCATACTAAAATCTGTACACCTAAAGAAGCTAAGCAAGAAGGAGGATCCTGGGTGAGATGCTCAATCTTCATTCAGAGAGGCAAATGGGATAGACATTGGAAGAAGGTTAAAATAAGGAATAAGACAGGAGCCGACCACAGAGGGCCTCTGAAAGACTCTACCCAGCAGGGTATTAAAACAGATATTTAGACTCAATGCCAAACTTTGGGCAGAGTGCAGGTAATATTATGAAAGAAGGGGGAGATAGAAAGATATGAAAGGGTCTGGAGCTCCATGAGGAGAGCAACAGAACCAAAATATCTGGGCCGAGGGGTCTTTTCTGAGACTGATACTCCAACCAAGGACCATGCATGAAGATAACTTGGACCCTCTGCTCAAAAGTAGCCCTTGGCAGCTCAGTCTCCAAATGGGCTCCCTAAAAAGTGAAGCATGGGCTGTCTCTGACATGAATTCAGTGTCTGACTCTTTGATCACCTTCTCCTGAGGGGGTGCAGCCTGACCAGGCCACAGAGGAAGATTATGAAAGACAGTCCTGATGAGACCTGATAGGCTAGGGTCAGATGGAACGGGAGGAGGTCGTCCCCTATCAGTGGACTGGGAAAAGGGCATGGGAGGAAATGAGGGAGGGAGGCACTGATTAGGAGAGAACATGGGTGGAATACAAAGTGAATAAATTGAAATAAAAAAGAAAAAATAGAATAAAAATCAATCAATAATTCAGCTTTACATTAGATTGGTGAACAGTTCTAGTGACTATCATCATCAATATATATATATTATATATTATATATATTAATTATATATATATATTGATATATATCGATTATATATATATATATATATATATATATATATATATATATATATATATATCCGACTGAACTCCCCTAACACAAGACCAAGTCTTGAGCACCTTCAAAAGGACAGACCCATGTCAGGGCTTGCCCAGTGAAATATGAAATAAAGTAAAGTAAAGTAAAGAGACTCCAACTCTGCCAAGCAACTTGGCCCAGCTCACCCTGTCTGACCACTGGTGTCTGGGACCAGCTGCTCTTCCTAGTGTCCTAGAAAATCTCTCTTTGCCTCTGCGACGCCTTCCCACCGTCCACATGCACTTTCATGTGTGTCCAATGAAATATGAGAGGATGAATGATGCTTTGAGGAATGAGGAAAGGGATGATCAAACAGATCATGTAAAATCACGGAAAAGAATGCTACAATTCTCTCTGGGCCATCAATGGCTGTGATGGAGAGGTCCATGTAGGTGACTAGGAGATGGAGAGAGAGATAGAGAGTATGTAGCAGTGTATCTGCTCCTGACATGTGAGATCTTGTTCATTAATTTACTTTGTTCAGGGCCAGAGTTGTATTTATCTCCACTTTTACTATTTTTCAAGTATAAATGATAACTAATTTACCGAGCTCTTTCTAAAGTCAAGATTCTATAAACACACATACACACACACACACATATACACACACACATATACATACACATAAACAAAACTTCTGACATCTTCAGTTTGCCACCATTGTTCAAAACGTAAATTTCTTCGCACTTAGCACTAACACATGTATAAATGTGTCGTTCTCAATTCAGGGGCTCTAGAGGCTCTGAGCCTTCTCTCTTTCTCTCTCTCTCTCTCTTTTTTCTATTGTTCTGCTGAAGGAACTTAACAATCAAATGTGTGTGTAAAGTCAGTCAATGATAAATTCTCCACCCCACCACAACTTTCTTTGTTTACATGTATATTTAATGTCTCTGCTTGCAACACAAGAAGCAGGAGAGCCCATGTCTTAGATTGCAGTGGTTTCCCTAATAGAAATATGCTGGGATGCTTAATTTCTGTGATGCCCCAGAGGATGTTCTCCATTTCAGACAGAGCCTGTGGAGTTAGGCTTTCATCTGCCCTTGATCGGTGCACAGGAATAGAGCTGTTTCACAATATTCATCTTCCTTTATTTATTTTTTCATTCTAATGCCCATGTACAAGAGCTTTGGCCTCATTTAACCTCTCCAGCATTTGACATTATTGATCCACTTTATTTACTTACATGCAGTAAAATTTCACGTATCTTAATTTGAACTTTGGGTGAATGATGATAGTGGACATTTTCCCCAGATACCCATGATGCAACCACATTGGAAATAATGAGTTTTTGCCAATGATGCCTAGCCCAGGTAAAACTTCTCAGCTTCTTTTCTGCCAGGAGGAGTATTAATGACTGAAATGTGACAGATTACTGCTTCAATGATGCTCAGACATTACATTGCTTATTTATAATTACATTGCCTGTAATCATTACACAATATTCGGAGCACCAAGACTACCTCTAAATCATTAACTCTACCCATTTTTTATTGCATAATAAATCTTTTAAGGAAATATTAAAATATATAGCTTACTTTGAGTGCTAGAATGAATGAAAGGAAGCAATTTAGATGATATTTGGATTGTATAGTCTAAGGGCTTAAATTACTACAGGAAAAGAGATAGGTACTATCTCTCTCTATATATATGTCATGTTTTTAAAAATATGATATGGATTTCTCAAGCCAGGGAGATGCCAACTCCTTGAATCACTGTTTACAAAAGGAAAGCAAGATATTTTGTTTCACGTCCTGGCTCTTTCTGATGCCTACCTCTTTGTGGGGAGCCACTTAATAAAACTGTAAAAACTTTTTTTTTAAATCTCTCTTTAGTAGACTGTAAATATTGCCAGGTTTGTTAACTGCTGAGTCGTAGGGATGATCAAGTGACACAAGGGATATTAAAACAATTTAAAGACTCTAAAGTGTAACTCATAAAAAATAAATCAGTACCCAAACATAAGGCAAAAAAATATTCAATCTTGCAAGTTTTCCAAGTAACACAAATCAAAACAGAGGTAACATTTCAGTTGCTTTGCCAGCAGCAGAATAGATTAGTCTGGTGCTTCTTGAAAGCAAATGTGGTGATATATTTCAATTGTCCAAAAACTGTTTATCCTCCTTGAATTGGTAATGATAGAAATGGATAATGCACATTTTGCTAACACTTATCAAAGCTTCCTTTGTCTCTGGCATTGTATATAGCACTTTACACAACCTAACTGGCTCAAAGTGTCTCCTCAAAGTACAAACCTAAAATGAAACACTGTCAGACAATTTGCGTTATCAAAGTATTTGACAAATGAGCATATACTCTTGGAGATGCAAAGTCACCTGCTTCATATATTATAGCTGGTCTGAAGCAGGAACCAAACCTGATCTAAGGGTAAAAACCCTCATATTTCAAGTCATTTTATAGCTTCTGAAAACACGTGAAAGGGAACGGCCCCATTGAAAGAAGAAAAATGTGGTCTTAAAGCATTTCCCAATGTGTTTTATGTAAACTCACCAACTAGCAGCAAAGTAGAGAACCAGCAACTGTGAAAAATTCACAGGTTTTTATGCAACCCTTAAGTAACATTACAACCTTGCATATCATACATATATATGACATCATATGTATGATATGTAAGGTTGTAATGTTACTTGAGTGTACTTGAGTTACTTGCATTTATATAAATGCACATCATATATATATGTATATATATACATACATATATATATATATATATATATATATATATATATATATATATATAT